TGTTTATAGAGCACCTGCCTCTGCCACCTCTTTATGGTCCCAGCCAGTTAGGACTGAGGCAGACCCTGCGGGACAAGGCAGAACTGCTCCCAAGGGTTCTGGAGACCATCCCCTTGAGAGCAGCCTCATTGTTCTCCTGTAGAGGAGACTGGTGAGTTTAAACCACCAACCTTGTGGGCTAGCAGTCCAACATGGCTATGCTCCCTTCCAAAGTGCAGAGGCATTTTATTCAGACCCCAGGGCTAGAAGGATAGATTCCTTTGTTCTCTTTCTTAGAAGATATTCTTACACCAACTAAATAAAACTTCACATGCCACTTTCATTGAGAAAATTCCTATAGGGCAGTGTTGAACTGCTCCTGTGGGTTTCTGAGACTGTAAATCCTTATGGCAGTAAAAAGCCCCATCTTTCTCCCACAGAATGGCTGGTGGTTTTGAACAATTGACATCGTGGTTAGCAGCCTAATGTGTAACCCATTTCACCACCAGGTCCTCCTATAAATGTCATTAATTTTTTAAAATGTGTTCTAAGGACTTACTTTAAACTGAGCACTGTGTGGTAATAAGTGGTCTTTGTAGAAACCCTTCAGATGTTCCAGACAGACGCCCAAAAACATGTGGAAGGAAGAACCCATCGAGAGAAGCACTCGCTGCGGCCTCAGCTGGAGGGACATTGCGAAGGGATGCTTGCCTTATTGCTAGAACTTAAAAACGAGCGTTCTTTGCTGGCACGATTGATGTCTTAGTTAAGTGCAACTTACGTTACTTTGTTTTGTGACATCTCATTTCTCCATCGTCTCTAGGAAAATGTAAGAGTTTTAACAGTGGGTTAACGGTGCTTTCTAATTTCCAGACCATTTGTTTTACAGTACTTGGCAAGACAGACTTGCATTTCTTTTCTAAGACCCTCATCTCAGTTCAAGGAGACTGCAGTATTTCAGCCTCGTGGCATGTTCGAGTGGGTCTTTTCTCTGGAGACCCTCATTTTGGCCTTCGTTGTTGTCTTAAGCTGTCTAGCTGCTGGAGGAAGCACAAGTGGATAGCTTTAGCAAAGAAATTCGTTCTTGAACCATTCAGGACGCTAGAAGTCTGTAGTCAAAGCACTGGCTTGAGGGGAAACCTATCTCTTCCCCCCTCCTCTTCCCCCTACACCCGCCCCCCGCTCTGCTCTCGGTTTCTCGGCGGTCTCTGTGTGCCTTGGCCTCAGTCTCTTCCCCTGGGTCTAGGAGGGTCTCAGTGCAGGCCCCGGGTCCAGAGGAGACAGCCATTCTGTCCTTAGCAGTTGGTGTTTTGATTTGTTTTTCCTGAGCCATCATTGTAATCACCTTTGACAGTCATCATTCTACCCACAGTCACTTCCGAGCAATCTAAGCTTTTACTATGAAGACTTAAAACTCTCGCCTCCTCCTAAGGCCACTGGATGAGAGTCTGCATGCTGCTTTCTCACATCGCCGCTGCCTCAGAGTGACCCAGCTCTGAAACCGCTTTTGCACTTGCGGTTATCAGAGCAGCACCCCGCTCTTGCAGTCCCCAATTCTGTGTTAGTCATCGAGGACCGCTATAGCAGAAATAGCATGGCTGATGGCTTTCCCAAAATGAACTTTATCGTCTCACGGTTTAGGAAGCTGGAAGTCTGAACTTCAGGCACTGGCTCGAATAAAGGCTTCCTCTACCTGTCAGCTTGGAGGAAAGTCATTGTCTCCTCAGAGTCTGCTTCCTGGCCCCTTGGGGATCTCCTTGTATCTCGGTACCAGTCTTCCTTGGGTCCAAAGGGTGCTCTCAGCTCCGGCTCATTTTTCTTGATGGTAGCCAGGTCCCTTCTCTGTGGCTTCTCTCCGAGTAGCTCTGGTAAGATAAAAGGCTTGACTGGGGAGGACGTGAGTCAGTTCGTCTTTGAGGCTGTGATAGATGCCCCCGTCCTGTCTTATCAACTTACAGCGGTTAAGATTTACAGCACTTATCACAAGATGGAAGATGATGCTATCAGTTGACAAATGGAGGGCAGCCACACAAAACGGAATCTTGACCTCGCCCGCCGAGTCGGCACATGTTTGGGCGGCGACACAATCGATCTATGACAATAATGTTCAACTGGCTGCTGATACGGCTTCAAAAACTTTTATATGGATTTTTGGAAGTCATTTTGTTATTTTCACAATTGAAACAAGTAGAGCTAGCTTTTAAAATTCTTTGGCGACTAGACTAATGTTTGGGTTTTTATAAAACAGATGTGATGTGTAATAAGCATTAATTCATTTTCATTGTGCTGATAGTGTGTGGACAACTCTTGTGTACAAGTGTCCTTTAAAGGGATGTGTACACAAGCACACGACTGTACAAAAGGTGCTAAATGAGGGAAACGCTGTGAACACCCAATTTGTGGAAGGCTGTGGAGGACATTGGGAGCCCCAAACCCATCTGTAGAGTGTCTTGTCAGATTAAGCCAATGACAGGTCCCCTCTAGCCACAGGCAAAGGTCTGTTAGCAGCCTTACAATCAAATATAGACCATTGTCATCCTTGTTATACTGGATCAAATTTAGTCAGTTGACCTCCCTCTAGACTAGCAGTTCTCAACCTGTGGGTTGTGACCCCTTTGGGGGGTCGAACGACCCTTTCACAGGGGTCACCTAGGACCGTAGGAAAACATATTTCTGATGGTCTTAGGCCCCGAGACACCACTCTATCCATCTCCAGGAGGGTCCGCCCACGTGCAGATACGCCCACATACGCGTACCCGGTGTGAAGACTACTACCCATGCTACACCAGGCTTCAAGACAAAATTTCATTTACTTGTCATTAAAAATACATATTTTACAATATATAATTACATATTGCTTTTGTGATTAATCACTATGCTTTAACTATGTTCAACTGTAACAATGAAAATATGTCCTGCATATCAGATATTTACATGACGATTCATAACAGTAGCAAATGAGTTATGAAGTAGCAATGAAAATAATTTTATGGTTGGAGGGGTCACCACAACACGAGGAACTGTATGAAAGGGTCATGGCATTAGGAAGGTTGAGAACCCCTGCTCTGGACCCACCCTGAATTTGTTCTAGATGCAAGGATCTCTTTCTTGTTCTGTGACAAAAACTGACGGAGGCCTTCTCTTTCTTGCTTATTGTTGGTATTTTTATCTTTGGTATTGCTTTACCCTTACCACTTCATTTCATTTTTATTCTTTGTTGTTTGTGTTGGGTTTCCCAGTTTGTGATGCACAGAAGGAGTGGATGGATGTGTAGAGATAATAACTGATAGGAGGGTTTGCAGGGGTGGGGGGCCAGGCGGATGGGAAAGGTGAGGGGATTCCAGGAGTAAATAATGAAGGTGGGGGCACTAGAACTGAATGTGAGTGTACACAACTCATTTTAAAGGTGATTTAATCATGGAGGTAGGGTGGGGGGAGAGAAAATGCTCTGAAATTGATTGTGGTAATGATTGTACAATTCTTGACGTGATTGAATGATTGAATTGTATGGTATGTGGACTGTGTGCCAACAAAACTGAATAAAAAGAAGGTGCTAAATGCACTAAAAATTTATAAGAGCTAGAAAATAGAAGTGTTAATTTATATAACCTTTGACAAAGGATATTTTCTGTACACGATACAAAATCTAGAAACATGAGAAACATCAGTAGACGTTTGCTTGAAGATGCCATTTCCAAAATAAAGACAGTTGACAGATTGGAGAAAATAAATGCCTATAACGAGACAGAAGGGGTTAACGTAAAAGCTTTAAGTCAATTAAAAAAAAGAATAAGCAAGGAGAAATTTGGATAAAGAAAATAAAATTCATGGAAGAATTACAGATGGCTAATAAACATACAAAGCAAAATGGCATCAGCAAATTCAGATTGAAGCAAGGACTAAGGAGGTTTTCACCGAGTGCCTTGCCAATCCCCTTTTAGCCAAGGATCCACAGCTCACTGGGCCCTCGATGCCGGGTTTGTTGTGGGGAGTCACTCACCCACTGGGTGAAGGCTGGATGTGCCCGAAGGGGGTGCTGAGGTGACCCAGAAACTAGACCCTGTGGGAAGCAGCTGCACGCCTAGGGCTGGAGAGGCAAAGGGGAAGAGGTGATGTCAGCAGAAACGAGGACCTTGGAGACTCCATCGTGACTGACTGAGGAGTGTCTGCGGACCCGCAGGGGAGCGAGGGTGCATCTGGAGTGTCTGCAGCCCCTGGAGCAGCAGGTGGCCCTGTGCTGCTGCCGGAGGGAGGGAGGGAGGCACCAGGAGCAGGAATCAGGAAGCCTGCCTTTTCGTCAGCACCTCCCCTGGGCAGAGCTCACTGGAGCTGGCAAAGCAGGCTCGGGAAGAAAGGCAGTAGCTGCTGACTAACTCCATTGCCCCTGGGGCGGGTGAGAGGGGGAGGCAGAGGTGGTGACCAGGCCTGGTAAGAGGGAGTCCATGAAGCAGGCCTGTGCAGGTACCCCTTAGGATTGTACATGGATCCAACTTCCTGAAAAGGCAGCCTGCTAATATCTATTTTTAAAATCCTAACGTGAATTCCCTGTGGCCCAATGTAAGTCTGTGTCAAAAAATGTCTCCTGCAAGAAATCCCAGACCACATATGGAGAAATACGAGGAAGCTTCACAATTTTCATGGGAAAATGGAATTGAAAGATAGTGGGTTTTTTCTACATGAACTTTTAGAAGTCCCTCATGAATGTATATTATGTTTCATTGTATCATTTTATGTAATTTCAAAAACTGGAAATAGGCTAAAAGTCCATCAGCAGTAGATTGGTGTAAATATAGTAGACTCTCCACCTGATTCTCAACCACATGGCCACTCAAAATATGATGTTTACCAATGTTATCCGAGGATAAAAGCTGTATTTGTAGGGCGATCTAACATTTCATCAAACCCAAAAAGAGTTAGGGTATTGGAATTTAGTGAGGATTATTGTTATTTGACTTTGTTGCACATAAAATTGGAAGTAGCAAGTACAGAATTTCATGTGTTGTGCATGTTTCTCTCGACAGTTATGAATGCAGGGATGAGAAAATACTTCCTTCAAGCCAATGATCAGCAGGACCTAGTTGAATGGGTAAATGTGTTGAACAAAGCTATCAAAATCACAGTAAGTCTTCTTAATTAATTAATTTTTGACAGGTCTCTCAGGCCTTTAGACTTAAAAAATACATCCCCACCCCCGCCGGGCATCTCCCCCTTATTAACGGCCAGGTACCTGAAGTTTGTGTATGAATACGTTTTCTTCTTGTGCTGACTCTTGGTCCTTAAATCAGCCCCTGGATGTCTGCTTCACCCATTGTGTGCCTTAGCGATGTTGTGTTGCCCTGTAGGTCTCGGGTCCAGGGGAAAGTGCCGTTTGGGTGCTCTTGGTGGGAGTAGCGGGGCCGGCCCCTAAGCCATGCCTGGGATGGGCATAGGGGAGGGCAGGGGTTGAAAGCAAGAGTGAGATGAGGAGAGCAGAAGTGGGCAGAGATGAGGCACCAGGGTGGGGACTGGTTCTGAGCAGCTGGGGCAGCAGGGGTCCTGCCCACTTGGCCTTGGGGCGTGTGTCTCAGCTCTACACCCCCCCTTCTCTCACCCCTATCTTCCTGGAGTCTCCCACCTTGGTCCCTCACCCCTTTTGCAGGGCTCCAGCCTCCTGCCTTCAACCAGGGCCTCTCATCTTTTTTACTTTGTCCATGAGTACTATTATTTATTGATAGTTTCCCTTAGCTGCATTAGTATTAATTTATATTAACCCTGACTTGCCTGGGAGAGCAAGGCCTAGAAAGAGGGAGTACCAGACTGCATTGCTGCTGGGTTGGGGCGTGATGATCTGAGCCCAGTCCCTGCCGGCTTCCTGCAGAAAGAGCCCTGCTTTCATCCCTTGCTTATAAGGCCAAAGAAAGACTTTGGAGATTTTGTGTCTAATGACAGCTAGCTCCTCCTGATGGTGCCCACTTTCTCTCTTCCCGGCCCATCCAGGAGGCCTATGTGGGGAGTAGAAACCGCTTGTAAGTTGAAGTGTGTTTTCACTGAAGCATCAATGTCTGCTGGCCAACTTAAGACAACTTACTCTCAGAAAACATATGCCTGGAGTCTGGTCCCTGGCACATGTGAGTCCCCTCCCCATCTCAAACGACGTGCCATGTTCCCATCCAGGGACAGTGAAGGGTTAACCAAAGCTGTGCTTGCCTTGCCACCAAGCAGCTTGGCCCCACCTGACAGCATACACCCACGTGCTCCTCTGATCTGTGCGTGGAACTCGAGTTATTTTAGGGATGTGCGCTCTCAGGAAAGCAAATGGGATGGCTTCAGAAGTCTGTGTTCCTGAAAGATTTCCACTGGGCATGTGTAGGCTCTTACTAAACATGGCCTAGCTAGAACATTCCTAGCCACTTGGCTGAATTATTACCCGTCCTCCTGCCCCCCACTCCCTTCTCCAGCTTTCAGTCAAACGCAGCCTGATCGTAGTGTCGTCAGAAGTAGTAGTCAGGGGTCTTCGACTTACCCCTTCGAGGGGGCGTGCTCTCGAACACTGTAGGTTTGAATGAGCGGAGCTCCATACAAAGACCCCCTGCGTGAGCTTGTCAGCATGGCAGGGACACAGACGAGGGACCGTGTCCTGTTTCCGGAGGGGGACGGTTACCCAGCTCTTGTGATCTTGCAGCTCTCTAAAAGTCCATAACACTGAGGTGTTAATGTTTTTATACTTCACAGTTAAACAAGCACAGGTATAGGAACCCTTACATTGTCGACACAGCGATTGTGATCGTCCACAGTGGAGACAATTGAGAGGGTCGCCTTGAGTCAGGGACGACTTTTATGGCAACTAACAGCTTAAACCCTCAGCCACTGAGTCCTGTCCTGACTCCCGGTGGACCGTGGGACAGAGTCGAACTGCCCCAGGGTTGATGAGGCTCCTCTTGGAGGAAGCAGCTGGCGGCTTCCCCTCAGCAGCGGATCACTTAGTCCTGGTGGCAGCAGGGCTGGTTAACAATGGACTTCATATGGGCACACATTTAGCTCTTGGGATAGCACTGGATTTCTAGGCTTCCTTAAGGGGTGTTTTATGGTAGTTTGATTCTTTGGGACAGCTTTAGCCATTTAAAATTTATATCCATTGTAAACAGTGGAGTACAGAGTTTCTTTGAAAAATCCACAGCCCCATTGGCACAAGTTACATATCTCTTAGGATATTTTAAATTCACTTACTGCTATTTCCTGGGAGTGGTGTAACTTGGTTAACGTTTTCCTGTTAAAATAGTTAAAATACATGATGTTTTTCATTAGAAAGTGGGAAGGGGGCGGGATCTGATAGTGCTACCATTGGGTCCTCGGCTACTACCTCAAAGGTGCGTGGTTTGAACCCACCAGTGGCTCTGTGGGAGAGAAGAGCTGGGGGTCTAGCCCTGGGAAGATTTCCACCTGGAACCCGCCCGGGCAGTTGTGCTCTGTGCTGTGGGTCACTCTGGCCGGAGTCCACCCACAGCACACAGCAGCAACAGCAGTCGTTAGAAGGAAGAGGCTGTGGTCTCGTTGGTAAATCGTTCCCATGCATGAGCCCCTTTCATCGTCGCACATCCACGGGAATTTTGTGTAGGAAAATTCTGTCTGCTGCTGCTTCACCTTCGAGAAACTCCGTAAAATGTGTATCCTCTGGGGAGGAACCCTTCAACGTCGGGAGGAATGGCTTCTCGGTGAGGGTCCTCTTCCCTTCCCTTCCTCTCCCGCAGCATGGACGTGCTGGGAGGTGGGGAGGCCTGAGAAGAAAGCTGGAGGGGAAGCCTCTGGCAGGCGGGAGGGAATTGAAGGAGATGAGCAGTCACCCAGAGCTGAGTCTGTGTGTGCGTGTGCGCGTCCCCCCAGTATAACTTCTCGGTGTGTGCAGTCTGCAAGGGTCAGCGTCCTGTGGCATGCACTCTGCATGGGTGCCCAGCAGCTTGCAGAAAGTTTCTTGGCAAAGCCTTGGCCAGCATACACGGTGGGTGCCTGTTTTTCTGCAAACCTGGTACAGGCAGCAGCATATAAAGTTTCTAGGAAGTTCTGGGTGCTGGCTTATAGACACCAGAGCTTGAGACCCACTGCTTTGGGCTGACACACACAGGTCGGTCAGGCCTTTGTATGCATTGTGACGGTGGCTTCTGACGCTACGCCCGTATCTTGCCAACTGGCGAGCTGTTTAATTGTAAATGAGATGTTTTTATGCCAGTTTCTTGGTGCTTGTTAGTAGTGTTTGAGGGTTTCTGAGCGACTGCAAGACCCTCAGAAACATTCAGCCACACTTAGCAGAGAGATAAAGTCATATTGAATATCATAATTGGTGCCGAGCATAGTTTACTACATTTCATTCAGAGCTTTAAAAATTAATTATCGAAATATAGAGTATATGCTTAACTGTCTGTAGGTCACCTCCCCTCCCAATAAAACAACAAACAAAACCCCCCCGATTAACCATGTACCTCATTCTCTAATATGACCCCAGAAAGAAAGCTAAAATCTATGTTGACCAGTTGAGGTCCCGCTGGTTGTGTGATGTGCCTTTAATGGAGGGTGAGTGAGGAGGGACGACTGCTGTTGCTGTGGTTCTTGCTTACACAGCTCCGTGGAGACTGAGTTAAGCTCTGGTGCTTGTCTGTGGAATGCTTAGTAAGTTTTAAGGTATTTTGGTTGATTTACATCAGGGATTTTGTTGTCCTATTTCCTAATACTTTTGCTCCGAGTCAGCCTTTGGACACTGAATGCGTTCCATGTGCTTCCTGGTCCACTCCCTTGCCTCATCAGCACATGAAGGTCCTGAAGGCTATTGATCTCCTTGGTACCTCCGAATGAGGTCACCAAGCTGTGGCCGGATTGGCAGGCTAAATTCCATCCCTTCGCTCTTCAGTCTCAAAGTGACGACATGAGGGAACTGCCAGAGTGTCCCCCCTTCTGCAGCCCTCGCAGACTCATGGGTCAGAGTGGGAGACAGGGCGAGAGTGTGATGTTAGGCTGTTCATCAATTGGAAACAGAGGGATGGAGTTTGAAGTGAAGTATGCAAAGCGAGCTAGACAGTGGTGAAGCCAAGATCTACTCAGTGCTCCCCAGCGCCTCTGAGCCGCTTCCCTTACTCCTGCAGTGAAGATCTGGTCCCGTCATCCTGCAGATAGGGTTGTTAGGGAATTTGGTGGGGAAATGTGAAGGGGCTTCAGAAAGTTTGTAGACAAATGAAATGAAAAGGTAATGGATATTCTCCGTGAGCTTTTTGAAGCCCCCCCGCCCGCGAATGAGATTGCCCGAGTAAGCCCTCAGTAACACGGTGGCTGTTTTAGAAAGAGGTAGAGGGAGGATGAGAAGGTAGGGAGTGTATGTAGATTGGTTCAGCACAGCTCGGAACAATCGGCTGAGAGGCACCTGTGTGACTGCAAAGTGATTCTGGTGGCTCCCTCTCCCAGGTACCAAAGCAGGCCGACGCACAGCCTCCTTCTGATATTCTGAGTCGCCAGGGTGACTTCTCGTGTGCAAAGCAGCAAGTGTCTTACAGAACGGACATCGTGGGCGGGGTCCCCATCATTACGCCGACTCAGGTAACTGGGCAACCCTCATTGTTGTATGTTGTTCCCGAAACCCACGCAGCGTGTTGCTGCTGAGTTGATGTGGTACTGAGTCAAGAAGGAAAACACCTCAAGTTCGTTTCTTATTTCAGAAGTATGTGCTTATTACATAAAATTTGGAAATTCCAGGTAAACATCATTTAATACTTTTCTGTTTTCCCTGAGCTTTTTCTCGGTAAGTTTCCCCCACCCACCCTGACACAGAGAGAGCAATAGGTTGTACTTTGTAAAACAGCATCTTTTATTTCTTGAAAACACTTTGTGCCTCATCAGAAATTAGTCGTCATCATCTTTAATGGATGTCATGTGTTTATCCTAATTTACATAGCCCTTTTGTTGGATGAATGCTTTTTCCTTTTAATAAGTATTCCTATGGTGAATATTTTTCTAATTAAAACTTCAGAAACATCACTAGTCTTTTAAGAATAAATTCCTAGGTTTTTCAGAGCAGGCTTTAAAGCCATCCCCCTCCTCCCCATCCTGGCTTAGAGGATCGAAACAGAATGAGAATTTGGACTTAATTCTATCCAGAAAGTATGAATTAAGTCCACAAGCAATGGAAATTTAGAAACAATTTTTGTATGAGCTCAGCTGTCTTGTACTGCAAGTGAGGGAAAAGGTCTGTAATGCAAATTAAGTTATTAACTGTCGACAAACCACAGATTTTAAAATAATTAATTGATATTGCCACTGATGGGCATTTTCATGACCTGTTGTGTGCCTTTTGTACTTACAAGACTTGCACTTTATAAAGCTCTTACATACAACAAATTGTTCTTACATGCCGTATTTTTCCGGACCTGTGTCAGAGCAGGGTGATTAGTGGGAAGGAGAATGACACCCTTCGGAATGACTTCAAGAAATATTTATTGAATAAGCACAGTCTCAGCTTCAGCGGGCGCTTACATTTTCTCTTATAGTTGATGGAAAAGTAAGCGAGGATGATGTGTGTAAGTGCATGCTGCCCTTCCAAGGGTGGCCCTAGCATCTCAAGGTTTGCTTACCGTGTGGCTGGCTCGATGAAGCTTTGGGACACCTATGTTATATCTTGCTTTGGCACAGGGGCAAAGTGGTTTTTCTACAGTTGTATTTAAGATATTGTAAGAGTTTGTAACTATGGCTGTTTTATATAGACTTAAGATTCTGTTGCATTTTAATTTGGGTGCAGCCCTTTTCTGTAGGTCCCAGGATCTCAGAAGCAGCCCGGGAGCATAGTGTAGTCAACACTGTGCTGCTGGCCACAAGGTCAGGAGTTAGAACCCGCCATCCGCCCTGAGGATCAGGAGGAGGCTGTCTGCTCCCATAAACCAGGGGCAAGTCTACTCTGTCTGATGAGGGTGCTCTGAGTCAGAATTGACTCAATAGCGGCGAGTTTTAAGTTGAGGATCTCTGATGGATACCTTTTTAAAAAGGAGGGGGAAAATGCCCAAAGAATTTTATTACTACCATCTTTCGATAAAGTAATATTTACTCTTTATAAAAGCACTTAGACAACACATTGTAATGTCCAGGAAATCTCATCTACATTATAAATTAATTGAGTAAATACTGGGAATGCAGTGAATTAAGTGCTAGGATGATACAGTTAAGTGCATATTGCTCTTGCCCTCTATAGTGTAGAACAGGTGGGAAATTCCTCAGAATCTGACTTGAGTACTGCGTGGGTCTTTGGACATTCACACGCTCTTGAAAAGACACCTTTGGCTTATTTGTGGGATTCTAGATTGTCAGTTGTGTTTTGTGTTACAAACAGACAGGAGCCAATGCTTTGGGGAACACGAAGACCTAGGTGGGTTTTTAAAGTCACTAGACCTACACATAAAACGATGACACTTTCAGAACAGGGGACTTAGGGTCAGGGTAAGAAGTTTTAGACTGAACATAGAAGCGTAATCCACACATGGAAACGTTTGCTCAGTGAAAGACTGGGAAAGTGGAAGGAAAAGTTGAAGCCTGAGAAAAAGTCTTTGCAAACCCAACAAGGAGCTTCTAACTGGACTATGTAAAGAACCCTCAATAGTCAACAGTGGGAAAGCAACCAAAAAGCATCTGACTAGAAAATGGGCAAAAGGCATGAGCAAACATTTCACTGCAAAGCAGACGGCAAATAGACAGGTGGCAAATCAGTCTGTCATCACTGCTGTCGCTGTGTGTCTGAATCCAGTCCTGGCTCATAGTGACCCTACAGGACGGAGGAGAAGTGTCCCTGTGGGTTTCGGAGTCTGGAATCCTCACGGGAGCAGAGCTCTGGGTCCCTTCTCTGCAGAGGGCTGGGGAGCTCATACTGCCAGCCTGCCAGCGAGGGAAGTGCCGATTCAGCCTGAGGTGACACCATGCACCCCCGCCCCCGTCAGAAGGTCTGCACTGAAAGAGAATGACTGCAGTGCCTCACCTCTCCTATGTCGCTGCAACACGTCCAGCCACTCTGGAAAGCAGTGTGGCAGTTTCTTACCAAACTAAGCATGCAGTCACCGTACAATCCCCCATTGGCATGAAGACCCCATTGCCATTGGGGCATGTTCCACACACAGTGACCCTTCTGGGGCAGGGTAGAGCTGTGCCCGTCAGGTTCTGAGATCTGTTATCTCTACGGAAGCAGACTGCCAGTCTCTCCTCCCACAGAGGGGGGCTGGTAGGTTCAAACCACTGACCTTTTGTTTCTGCTTCTGAGCACTTAACCACTGCACCACCAGGCTCCTTCAGAGTATGTATTCCTTGGCAGTTATTCCCGGGTAACGAAGACTTAGATTCACACAGAAATCTGTGCATGACTACTTAGAGCAGCTTGCTCCTGGTAGCCCCAAACAAGAAGCCCTCAGAATGCTTTGTGGGAGGGAATGGTGAGACACCCCATGCTGCAGATCACGTTGCAGTAAAAGAGGGGGGACCAGCTATTGATCTAAGCAACAACCTGAGGGGATCTCTGGGGAAGGGTGCTTGAGTCTGGGGTGAGCAAAGCCAGTCTCAGAAGGCTCCCTGCGGTATGATTGCGTTATATTACCTTCTCCAAATGTCGCATTTAGAGACTCAGAGAAGAACATAGCCCAGTGATGATAGAGCAGGTGTACGTGTGGGACATGTGTGCATAATGAGGGAGGGCTTAGGGTTGTACCAGCGTCTCTTTCCTGGCTTGGATATCGCATTGATAGTTGTCCAGTTTCCCAACTGGTGGAAATTAATTGAAGGGTATATGGAACAAACACACAACATACCCACCCACACACACGTGTCAGACTTTTGCAGAACAAGAGAAATGGAGATTTGCAGTTTAATTGGTGGTGTGAAAGTTATGACCGAGTGTGTGGGACTCATTAGGAAAGTCTTCACTTGACAGTGTATGTTCCTCATTGACTTTCAGAGTTGATAGTAGAGCACTACCAAATAAAAGCTCTCCTCGGAGCAAATCAACCAAACAAATGTGCTTCATTTTAGAAAGAAGAAGTCGGTGACTGCAGTGACAGCGTTGAGAGGAACCATTTGAAGCGGTCACAAAGCCATCTTCCTTACTCCACCCCCAAGCCCCCTCCAGACAGTGCCATTATCAAAGCTGGGTATTGTGTGAAGCAAGGGGCAGTGGTGAGTGGCCCTACAACAAACCAGTGCATGTTAGCAAGCTCTCAAATCAACAGAAGCAGTTGTTTCCTTTGCTTTAGGAAAAACCCAATGTGAAAGACCTGGGGAGGGGACGGGGAAGAGAGTGGGTGATTCATGCTGACAGCTCAGCACTCTTGTTTCCTGGGGCTGTGGGCGCCCAGTGGCCATTGCCTGTTACAGTGACCTTCCGGTTGAAAGGGCCTTTCCCAGCGGTTCAAGTGTCTCCCAGAAAGTTAGTCCTCTGATCCCTCCGTCCCCCAGCACGCCCACGGAGCGGGTCAGGAAAGAGAGCTCTAGTCTGGAAGTGGCAGTCTCCACTTGGGGGGGATGTGGCTTGTGGAAGAACCACTCAGAGCTACCCCACCCCCGGGGGGATGGGAGCCTAGCAACTTGATTGGGTGTTTGGCTGACCTTGACTGAGCGTTTGGTGACCTTGCTTCTTTACCCTCCCAGGCTCTCAGCCCTCCTCTCCCCCTCTGATCGTATTGTCACTACCTTTCCCAGCCCCCTCACTTCCAGAGTTTGTTAAGGCCTAAATGGGAGCACAGCATGGTGGCTGCTCACTCTCATATGACAGCTGCCTCACACCCTGGAGATGGGGCAGGGGGACCACCTATGCTTAAGAGCGTCTCTGTCCCAAAGCACCTTCCGTAAACAAAAGCCCTTTCTTCTGGGGGAGCTGCTGCTTTAGAATTTCATGGGAAGATAAACTTGAGTGTTTGGGAACAGGGAAACCCCACTGAGTAATATGAGGATTAAAATGAATGTTCCCCAAAGTGGGTGATACTTCCCCCGCCCCCCAGGGTGCTGGGGTGACCAGGGCCACTGCACAAGCAGGTACACTTTACCCTGAAGGGTGGGCTAGAGTCCCAACGCTCAAGCACCTTTTGATTGCCACGAAGCACCGAGTAGGATTTTGGTGGTTTTGTTTGTTTGTTGTACAGGCAGTGGGCCAGGGAAGTGTGGGAGCCTGTGGTCTAACTGATTAGCGCTCTGGCCACTCACTCGTGGAGTTTCCAGAGCGGGGCCCTTGCTGACATGCTTGCGTCAGCATCGGGCGCGGGGATGACGGCGGCCACTCCCAGAAACAGGTCTCACATCTGTTCTTCTCTGTAGATGAAAAACTGGAAGAGAAGATACTTCCAATTGGACGAAAACACAATAGGCTACTTCAAATCCGAGCTGGTACGTTCATGGGGCCCGAGTGCCGCTCTGAAAACGCCTGGGGGGCCGGAGCGGGGTCACTGGTTGCTTGGACCACTTACCTCCACGCGCTCTATTTCTTTATCTTCAGAGTCAGCTCATTCTGGGTTTGAGAGGGAGGGGCAGTCCTGTGTACCTTGCTGGGATGCTTTCGGTTGATGGAATTTTTGTTGCCTTACTGAAAGGCCCTGTCTTTGAAGAGGCATTCCCCTTTGAAGGAGTTCAGCCTAGCAGCTCCCCCAGACTGCCGGTTTCCACCCCAGGAGCTGCTGAGAGAACATGCTCTCCCACAGTCTGCAGGGCACCCTCTCTGCATCCACCCCCTCTTCTCTGCCTACTCCAGACTGATACTTAACTTGCTTTTTGGCCATCTCTGAAGGTCGAATCAATGATAGAAATTGCCTGTTCCCCCCGGATTGAGTAATATCCTGCCACAGATGGTTGGACAAGTAGAAAGCAATTCAACCTGTACCGCACCTGTTCTTGCTCCTCCGGGTCGTGGGACCCCGCAGACCCCTGTGCTCCGGCCCTGGATTTGCACTGCGGTGTGACAGCTCGCGGCTGAGTCTGGTTGCCTTCTGCCGGGAATATGTTTCTCATCTCACTGAAGGAAGGCGTGCACTTCTAAAACGACAGCTAATTCTGCCCATTTCATCAACTTCGCTTTAGATAACTGCACAGAGCCAATGGCTACCTGGAGTCTGCTCTTTGGGGAGCTCCTGCACTCTGGGTTAAGCACCCTGTGTCTGTGCCCCTGATGTGCAGCGCCTGTCTCTGTCCTGGTGCTTCCCATACTCGTTCAGACTAGACTCGTAACCTTTCACCAGCCCCAGGCCCGCACGTGTGAGGAACCACTTAGAACCTTTGAATCGGTGGAACATGAGCTAGCAGAGCAAGAACCGCCGCTTTGTGTGCGTCTAAGTACCTCCGCCGGCAGGAGCAGTCACCTGCTCAGAAAGCACCGTTCTGAGTTGCCAGGGGGATTGATTTCTGACTCGACCCCTGCTGCGCACTCAGGAAGTACCCTTCATGCCATGGTGCTTGCCAGCTCTGTGTAGCCCCGGTGCCCTGCTCTGGGACGCGAGTGAGGAGGGCAGCCAATGACGGAGCCTGGTCCTTGGGAGCCCAGCTTTGCCCTTCCCTCGTAGTGATCCTGAAAGTGTGTGATGGGAACCATTGCACAACTGTTTTGAAAACTTGAAGACCGACATTTGTGCTATGAAACCTGAGGAAAGGATCTGTAGCGCGAGGGGAAGCCTGCCGTCTGGATTCAGGGTATATTGGGTATGTAGGGAACGCAGATGATGGTGTTAGGAGCCCTGATCTGTGTCTTAGGTGTAATATGTACACACACCCTTTCAGCATCCCTGGAGTCAGCGCTGGGGTGCCTGTGTGTGCCCAGCACATTTGGGTCAAATGTGGCCAAACCGCAGCTGTATTCAAGACCTGTGGGTGGGGCTGCTGGGCAGAAAGCCTTGGTGGTCCAGCGGAACATTCTGGAGACGCACTGCATCCCTGGCGACCTTTGGGGCTGGAGGGTGATGTGAAAGCACACCGGCACCCACAGCCCTGAGCACAAAGTGATTTGGATGCCAAGGCTTTGGAAACCTTAAACAATTTATCTTGACAAGGTATTTCTTTTTTTACATCTGCTCAAGAGAGAGAAAATCAGATGCCTAGGGTGTTAACGGGCACTTTTGCAAAGCCCTGTTTTATTACAGAAAATGCACGTGCACAGACCGGGGCTCCCTGAGCGGTGGAGCAGGAGCCAACCCCGAAGCATCCCCCTCCCCCTCCCCGACATCTGGGGGGTGGAGCCGCCACTTGAACACTGGTCCATCTGGGGGGTGGAGCCACCACTTGGATGCTGGTGGCAGCAGGCACTGACTAAAATGAGAATCTCGGAGCCCACATGCAGAGGAGCATCAACGCCTGTCTGTTGGGTGAAGAAGGGGGTCTTTGCATAGTCTCCAAGTAGCTTCCCACAAAATAACATGGATCCCAAGGAAGAATCTGGCAGCTCCACTTTAATCAAGCGAGCAGTTGATTGACGGGAAGGCAGTGGCGGCTGGAGGAGATGGTGCCCTCTGAAAGTTTGGGATGAAAAGAATGTGGCTTCGCTCTGACGTTCTTGTCAAGGGTGCAGTGCCCACCTGCGGGGAATCCTGAGGGAACGTCAGACTCACCGACTCAAAGCCACAGGCCTACTACCTTCACCAGAGTCTGTGGAGGGTGGCAGTCAGGGAAGAATGAGGAAATGAGAACAGAGGGCTGGCATTGAATGCTGTTTGTGGTCTGCGACACGCTGCTCTGGGGCAGTGGCCCTCCCGATTCTGACCCCCTAAGAGCATGGCTGTGGGGAGAGGGCTCCCTTGAGAGCACTCGGGGTAATGGGTCCCAAGTGGGCAAGGCACCCTGAGCTGGCCTGGGGAAAAAGCCAGTCTGCAGAAAGTATTTCAACCAGCGGGTAAGCTGGCAATTGTCTCAAAGTTGAAGGGAATGAATATTGAGGGCTGGTATGTCTGGTCGAAGAAGGAGCGATAGAGAAATGGTTGTTTTAGAGTCATGTAAGAGGGCTGTGCCACATATAAAAAGGGGTTCCACGTTATTCAAAATCAGAGAACTCAGAAGTCCCGTCCAGGTCGCACCCCATGAGAGTACTTTCGATGGTCAGACTCTACTCTCAGATACTGCTGGGGCATGCACGTGGATTGAGCCTTTGGGCGGGGGGTGGGGCATGGGGCATGCTCTGGCAGAGCTGCATGTGCAGCTGTTCTGTACTTCATCGCTCCCCCAGCTCGAAATCCTTCTGAGGTTCAGTTCCAACCATAGGAAAACAGTGAAGCATCGCAGCAAGTTGCAGACACCAAATTGAAAGTCACTGAGGTGCCCACCCATCGAAGAGTGGCCGCTGCCCAGTGGAGATCATACCTGTGTGGCGTGAAATGAACAAGAAGACAGACAGACAGAGGAGGCAGAACCTCCCCTCTGCGGTGGAGTGGCAGCAGGGCAAATCCTCCCGCACTAGCAAGTATAAATGCCATCCTCGGACTCAGGAAGCAGGGCTCCTGGAGAGATGGCTGGTGTCAGGGCTGGGGCAGGGCGAGGACACGATGTGCCGAGAATGTCTAGCCATGCCAGGAGGTAAAGAAGTGGCCCGAGGGTAACGGACGGGGACATGTCAGGAGGGCACACAAGGCAGCTGGAAGGGGCTCCTACTGGCCAAATTGGGGGCAATAGAGCCAAAAAATAAATGAGTAAGAACTGTCCTAGATCATAGCCCACAGAATAAAGTGTCCTGAGTGTGCCCAGGGAGCGGGACAAGCCTTTCCTCAGAAGGAAAGGCCAGCTAGTGCATAGAGCATTTTGGAAAACAGGCTGCAAAGGATGGAAAAGTTCCTCGGACTATTTTGGTAACTCTTCTGTCATCGGAAGTGATTCCAAAATGGGATTTGAAGAAACTTGAAAACAAAGACGTGTTTAAAATGGAAGTACTGACAGGGTTTGCTGTGTGGTTGGCACCCTGATCGCGTGCTGTCGTCAGGCAGTGGGTACCGGGGATGGCATCTTCCAGACGATACCAGGCAAGGGTTCTGTTGTTGGGAGCTAGTTACGTCTCCTAGTTGTAGTTCATGTCTACTTTTGTGACCCGAAGGTCAGCAGTTTGAAACCACCAGCCACTCTGCTGGAAGAAGACGAGGCTTCCACTTTTCTACCCTGCCCTATGGGTCACTGCCAGTCGGACTCAACTCCCTGCCAGTGCGTCTGGTTTGGTTTGTGACCTCATGGGACAAGATAACTGAACATGCCTGAACGTACCCTTGCTGCTCTTAGATGTTTCTGCGGCACAGTGCGGAGGGCCGGGAGGTGGACATAGATAAAGCCTAGCCGATGCCCCAGCACCCCAGAAGCATGCCGTAAAGCGGGGTTTGTTGATGTAGTGACTGTGCCCACAGGAAAGTGAGGTCCAAAGCATGAGAAATGTGCGTAAAAGAGTACTCTGTTGCCTCGTGTCTCAGAGAAGTACCACCCTGGCTGGGCCCCCAGGAGAACCTGATAGAGCGTGGCTCTTAATACGTGGTTGTGTCGTGGAAAGACCCCAGTGGTGCAGTGTCAGGGAAGGAAGAAGATTCACACCCCACCCAGCAGCGGCTGTGGGAGGACGGGCAGGCAGTCTGCTCTCAAGACAAGTCCAGCTTCGAAAACCCAGTGGGGCAGCTCAGCCCTGCCACGTGGGGTCATGATGAGTCGAAACAGACGCGACTGGCCCCTAGCCACCATTAGGAAGGCCAGGAGTGTGTGGATGCGGGTTATCTGCCCATTTCCTTGTTTTGGACAAAAATCTATGTGTGCTTTATAGTGTTTGAGCCTTTCTGAGGCAGAATGGTTTACAAAAGTAGTTTTATATTGTGGATGTGCTTCAAGAAAGAAGCCTAACTTTCCCAGAGATCTAAAGGTAAGCCCTTCAAGGACTAGCTAGCTAACCTTAAAGGGGCAGCCTCCCAGAGGGTCACGTATCCGTTGCTTTCTCTTTGGGCAGGAAAAGGAACCTCTCCGCGTCATACCTCTGAAAGAGGTCCACAAGGTCCAGGAGTGTAAGCACAGGTAAGAGCCACTCTGACTTGGTGTTGGGCCCAGCGTACTTGGTGGGGGCCACAAAAGAAAGCCTCCCTTTGATTGACATGCTCACAGGGTCTGTTTCCAATATTGATTCCCCTGTTAGAGCTAGCTGTATACACTTGACTTTTCAAAAACGTCTGATAAAGATCATTGAATATTTTTGTATTTGCAAACTTAAAATTAAGAAGCGAGTCTTTAGCTTACTAATGCAAGGGGAGGCTAATATTAATAGCTTATCATTTATACCATCAGAGAGAAAAAAATTATTCTAGTCATTCAATGTTGCTGTAAAGTCGAGCTTTGCAAGAGATTATATGGCTGTGCTAGCCTTTCCCTGAACTGCTCTCTTCAGAGTTGAAGCCTTGGGTGTTAAAGTTGCTTTGTGAACCCATTTGTTCAGTGTGTACTGTTACTATTGTTACATGCCATCAAATTGCCGTGGGCCTGTGTACGGCAGAACCGAAACCCTGCCCGCCCCCACAGGCTCCGTTGTGTTTGAGCCCATGGTGGCAGCCCCTGTTTTCGCGCACGTCACTGGTGGGCTGCTTCTTCACTGACCTGCTTTGCCAGGCTCGACGTCCTCCGTGGTCCTTCCAGATAACGTCCACAACATGAGGACCTCCTCAAACCTAAGGAGCATCCTGGCTGTACGTCCTCTACGACGACAGATTTGTCCGTTCTCCTGGCAGTCAGCATCTCTGTGCCCCCACCGCAGTCCGTCTGTGGTCCTCCTCGTTCGCTGTGCAGCGTCCCTGTGCATTTGAGGTGACTGAAAAGACCCTGGCTCTAGGCAAGATGCAACTGTGTCCTCGGGTGACTTCGTTGCTCCTGAGCACTGTGTCGGTAGATTTGCCCCGTGTGCTGTGCACATGGTCTGCCCTCTCGGAGGCTGCTGCCGTGGTGTTCATATCCATACTACATGGACCTCTAGCGTTTCATGCAAAAACTCAAGAGTATGTTGATCAACATAGGAAGTGGGCCTTAATATTTATTTTCTTACTACCCTATCGGTGGTAAATAAGTCAAACCATCAGCTGACTGCTACTTAAGTGCAACTGGGTCATTTTTGTTGACAGTGACATAATGATGCGGGACAACCTCTTTGAAGTGGTGACGACGTCCCGGACTTTCTATGTGCAGGTGAGACCATTGCTGACCCACTACATGTGAGTGAGACGCAAGTAAGCAGGTGAACTGTGAGGCTGCAAGAAGTGAGCAACTGCCCCTCAGCAGCTGAGGGGAAGGTTGTGCGAGGCAGGCGGTGGGTGCGCCTAGGCTGAGGCGTGGGCGTTCTTTCTCAGAGTGTGTGAACGAGGACTCAGCTGTGCTTGGAAGACAGATGCTTTTGACACTCACGTTCTGACACTCGAGTTGGGTGATGTTTGCACCTACTTTCGCAGTCCTGTCTTATCATTACTGAGTCATTTTGTAACCAGAGGGCCTCAGATCCCCAGGAGAGGAGGGCACGGTGTATCTTGCGCCCCCCTGGTGGTGGGTGTCCATGTGTCCAACGTTACACGAACTTTGTGGTTACCACATTGAAAATCAGACGGTGCGACTTTTAAAAAACGCTGGGTTTTTGTTTTTCCAAATGCTACGGATGCTTACTATAAAACATTGAGGAAATAGAGGAAAAGGTGAGTCCTCAATCATACATTCAGGCAACTACTCTTGCCCTTTTTTTTTTAAGTGTTTTTGTTAAGGCGCGTTGGATAGCACACACGGCCCTTCTGGGAACACAGTCGTGTCTCATGCTTCTGCTGCCGTGGCCACGTTTTCTGCGCCATTAGACTTCCTCTGCACCCAGCTCATGGTGGGCTTGTCCGCTGTGAACCAGCATCTCCCGTGCTCTGTCCTGTCCACTCACTCACATTGTTCTCATAGATTTACTGGGATACATAAGCTGACGGTCAGTGTCCCTGTACATAAATTTGCCTACATTTCTTACTTGATTGGGAACATTAGGGCCCTTTTAAAGGCCATCCACAACCACACTCATATTAGTAAGGAATGAAAGTCTTCTCTTTGTCTTGGCCTGTGTGGAGTACTTTCCTTTTAAAAACAAACCTCTGTTAATCTCATTGGTTACAACACATGCCCTCATGTCCTTAACCTTTTTAGGCAGCGAGATTCTAGAATGCAGAAATAAGCCGCAGTCAGTGACATCCCTGCGGGGCCTTATTCAGTGTGGTTCATGTGAAAGTCGGAAGCAGGTCTGTCTTGTCAAGGAAATAGAAGCACTTGGAATATGACTACCGACCTTTCCTTTAGGATCCGGTGCTGCTGGGAATCGCTTTTAGAGAAATGCAGAGCACGATTCCGATGGCTCTTCAATGACACTGCTTTGGATCTCTTCTCGAAGCGGGGCCAGGGGAGGGGGGCAGCATGAGAGTTGCTCCCCTTGACTTCTCCCCGCCGCCCCCCTTCTTTCCCTGTGGAACATTCACAACGGGCACTGTGTGATGTGCCCGATACTAAGAGGCCAGCTTCCCAGTTTTTCTCTCTGATAACTCCCTAGCGGGGCCTGGCCTTAAGAAGCCACTTCTTAGAAATGTTGGCATCCATTGCCTTACAATGATTTCTTTTTGGTGGCACTGTAAGTGATTAACTGGAGCCCTACTGGCATAGTGGGTATGCATTGGGCAGCTGCTAACCTCAAGGTCAGCAGTTCGAAACCACCAGGGGCTCTGGGGGAGAAGAATGAGACTTTCCACTCAAGAGTTACAGTCTAGGAAAGCCCAGCTCACTGGACGGCAGTGAGTTTGGTACGTTATGAGAGTGTCTATACTGAGTTAATGGACATGAACCTGACCACGAGGACAAGCTGACTGACGGAGCCCTTCCCTTCCCTTAGGCCGATAGCCCCGAGGAGATGCACAGCTGGATCAAAGCCGTCTCCGGCGCCATCGTCGCACAGAGGGGACCCGGCCGGTCAGCGTCTTCTGTATGTGTCCTGCTCTCTGGGGTGCTATGCCCTGGCCTCCCCACCACCACCTTAATCCTGCTCGTTTCTCTCTGTATTGTGATGTGTTTGCATGTTGACTTTCCTGTCGATTGGACTTGCAAACAATAATGCGTCCTTAATGTCGTGCTTCCGTGTAGTGTCCCGTGCACTGAACTCTGTGCACATGCACGGCAGCCAAAGAATGGGCGTCTTCCCGCTTCCTTTCGGGCGTTCATCCCAGGTGCCGTGTCTCAGTCTGGTCCTCCCTCGACAGATGCGGGTGCTCTCTGGGCCTACTTGTGGCAGGCCCGGACTCACTGCTCCGCACGTGTGTCTCACCAGCCCAGATGCCTCTCTGCTTCCGCAGATTTCAGGGCCTTTTTGTTTGTTTGTTTGTTTGTTTGTAAGAGGGTGGGGGCTTAGTCGTACCCTCAACCCATGCAGTTCCTCGGGTTTGGCGTCAGAATTTCCCTTTTGGGGCTTTCTGCCATTTTTTCATTGCCATAATTATCCTTGGGCTCGCATGATGATGCACTTGAACTGAAACATTTCACTTAGAGAGTGAGAGCAGTGTGGGGTTGGTTTTTGCCTTAAGATGTTCAGCCCCATCACAGAATATGATGTAGGCTTGCAGCACTTTGGTCACTAGTCTCGGGTCTCTAAGCAGAGGTGAATTCTTCCTGGGATAGTAAACCGTTTACAGTTGTGTAAAATATAAGTATGTGTCGTTTCAGGTCCATTCCATTCAGGCAGTGTCTGACTGCATCCCATGGTCCCATGGGCTTTTTTTTTTTCCTTTAAGAGGAAGGAATTCTCCTTTATTATTTCCCCCTAATAGTTTCCCAAGCCCTGAGCCCAGACTCTGGGAGCCGGGGTCCACAGGTGAGGCAGAGGGCATGGCTCAGAACACAGGCTCTCAGACTTGGTCTGGTGGGCAGCCCATGGGGGCTGCTGCTGCTCAGACGAGCGGTGCCACATGTAGGACTGGGTGGGCTCCACTCTGCCCCGCCTGCTCTCTCTCCACTGCTTCCAGCACCACTCCTCTGCCCTGCACCGGTGACAAGGGTAGCTAGAAACAGGCTCAACTAGGATTACAGCAGGGCGTTCGTACCACATCCAGTTCACACAACGCCCTGTTTCACAGAGCCCATCCCGGACACCTGCCTGCCCAGCACTTGTCTGCGCAGTGCGGTCTAGTGTGTAGCATGACGTCGTCATCTGAGTCACCGTGAATGCCAGCTCCTCATACTTCGGACCCTTTCCCCAGTGGTGCAAATGTTGTCTGTACAAGTACGAGAAGGACACCCGTGGCCAGGAGGCAGAACCCTGGTTGCCTCTCCTGCTTGTCCCAGTCACTGTCCTGTCCCCTCAGAAGTCCCTCTCGTAGGCGGGCACTGGAACCGCCTATGTTTCTTGTGACCTTGGCCAGCGGTCAAGTCTGCGACTGCAGAAACAACGTCTGCTGGGAAGCGGGCCTGCTGGAGAAGGGTGTGCGTTTCGTGCTTTGTGGTGGGGGCAAACTGGGCTCCCGGGCTACGACTGTCTGCAAACCTGCTCTCTCCTCCCTCTCCCCAGTCCAGGCGAACTCTAATCTTAGCTTTGCCCTGTGTTCCAGATGCGGCAGGCCAGGCGGCTGTCGAACCCTTGTATACAGAGGTACACTTCCAGAACGGGTGAATGCAGCACGCACGTGGGCGCTCACGCAAGCGTGCCTACTCACTCCCTACTCACCCCGACCCCATCAAGTTGAGTTAACCCAGCTGCCCCTCGCAGTTTTCACGACTGACCGTGTCGACACTAACCCAGCCTTTCTCATAGCAGTCTTCAGGATGGATATGTGTTTAAACAGGAGAACCAGAGGACAGGGAGCTTCCCACATTGAAAAAGGCATTCTATAGTGTCTTAAAATCTCGAAACCAGGTGGCCAAATTGCCAGTTTCAAGTTGCTATGTGCTATATATTTCGCAGGTGTTAAAAAAGTATAAGAACACTTGGAGTGCACCTTTGTTCTAGCATTACGGGCAAACTCATGCATGCCTGTGCATGGGGGCATGCCAGTTTAAATCTCAGGTAGATGCAGCCGCCGAATGGGACATGACCGTGCTCGGCTAATGTGGAGCATTTTGTGTTTGGAGCAGCCGAGGATGGTCAGTCCACACCTCTGACTCGACCTGGTGGTGTGTGGAGAATGGAAGTATTTCAGGTTGCCCTCAGGCGGGGTCCAGTTAGATGCATCTTGAAAATGGGTGTTCTCGGCTAATAGTTCTCTCCCTTGGTTTTGAAAACCATTAACAGTGTGCCCTCTGTTGCCTTTGAAGTCTTGAGCCGCTTGAGTGTAATTATTCAAGACAAAATAAGTTGAACTCAAATAGAAAGTAAAAAAGATGCTGCTGCTCCTTGAGGTTTGGGGAGTCAGGAACGTTTGTCTGCTCCTGGGCAGAAACCTGCCCCTTCCTGCATCCTGCATTTTTATTGTCTAAACTCTGTGGGACCATCCTGGTGCTGACTGAGGATGGATCCTCACTTACACATATACTCCCCAGGCAGGTAGCCGCCCGTCCAACACAGCCCGGTTGCCACTGGAGCACGGGACCTCTGCCGGCCTCGGCCGCCGGCCCACGAGCATGCCATGCCATCCCTCGGCTGCCGCGTGCAGCCCGCTTCCCTCGCTGGAAATGGTTGCTGGCCGTCACTGCTTTAACCTCACCCCTAAACCCGCCTCGCTTCTGCAAGAGCTTTCATACTGATGCTGCCTGTCCGCTTCCGCCTGTGTGTGTGTGTGTGTGTGTGGTGTTCGTTTTTCAGAGAATAAAGTCTCACACTGAATTACTAACCTGTCCATTAATGGATGTCCCGTGTCTGACCATCTCCCCTCTTTACAGGAGCATTCCACCTGCCCCACAGACCCCAGACCTGGCCCCCGGCCCGCCGCAGCCCCCTCACATTCCGCGGCCACTCGCAGCAGCTCTCTGGTCTCAAGCTTTGCCCTGGAGAAGCGAGGATTTTACGACTCTCTTGCCAAGGTCAAGCCAGGGAACTTCAAGATCCAGACTCTCTCTCCAAGAGAACCAGCTTCCAAAGTGACCGAGCCAGCCCTGCCGGGCGGCCCTCAGGAAAAGAACGGCAGCCCGGTGGACTTGGATGACGCCAGCCTTCCTGTCAGCGATGTGTGACGCCGGGACCGCATGCCTCCCCTCTGTCCCCTCGTTCCCGTCGTGGGGCTGCTCGCCAAAGAGGACGCGGCTGGAGTGGCTTTGACCGCCGGCCTCTCACCGCCTCTTCGACGCACTCTGCAGAAGCTGGTGCAGGAAGGCCCTGCGGGGCAGCCAGCCGGCTGTCCGAACCTCTGTGTGAACTCATTCGGTGACAAACGTGTGTGTGAGAGAGAGAGAGAGCGAGAGCGCTAGGTGTTGTGTTTGTTTTGTTTTTCCCTGCCAAATTTGACAGTTTAAATGGTTTAACAACTCCAAACATTAAAACTGCTTATTAATTCTTGGGTCTATTTTAAAAGTTGCTGTGGCATCCTTCTAAGTGTGGGCTAACCCCAGATTCTGCCGGCTGGTGACATTGGATGGGATTGTGCCAGACTGAGACATACCCACTCTCACGCACGTTGTCTGTGATGCCGCCCAATTTATACTAGAGCAGCGGTTCTCCGCCTTCCTAATGCTGCGACCCTTTCATACAGGTCCTCAAGTGGTGGTGACCTCCCAACCATCAAATTATTTTCGTTGCTACTTCATCACTGTCATTTGGCTACTGTGATGAATTGGGCAACCCCTGTGGAAGGGTCGTTTGACCCCCAAAGGGGTCATGACCCACAGGTTGAGAACCGCTGTACTAGAGTGTGGACTCTTTTTTAAAGACTTCTAACTCATTTGGATGCCCCGGAGCTCAAGGTGAGTGGCCGTTACTGGAGAGAATGGTATTGGACCATCCGGGTGGCACGCATAGGCTTGTTTTTTTACATTTCGGTTAGATTTGTTCCCCTGCGTCTGAAATGGTTGGGCTCTCAGGACTGGAAGTGCCTTGGCCACTGTTGCCCCTCATCTGTAGCCTGGCTCTCTGGAATCCCACCCACCCGGCTTTCCGCGAACAGTCAGCCTAACAGATCTCGTCTCAACTGCAGGGTTCCAGAGAAGCCCCGCTTTTGTCCAGCACCCCCACTGCATGCCTGTTCGTGTCCGCACATTGTGGTGTGTGGCCGCAGTTTGAGATAGTCCGTGGCGGCAGAATATCTGCTCTGTTTTGTGACACCTTTTTTCCCCCTGAGACCTCCCCTTCCCCTCAGCAGCATTGGAAAATGGTCCTGTGATTGCCGGGGTCTCCTGATACTGACTTCCATAACCTTTGTGTTTCTGTGACAATTATGTGATTATCTTGAAGCGAATGCTTTCTTGCAAATAATGTTGCATCCAAATTGTCCAAAAACTTCCTTGGGACTCCTTCCACTTGCTGCACTGTTTTCTGTACCCAGTGCATTGTCTTCCAGGATGGGGGTCCTGCGTGCCCACCACTGTTGACTGTCCAGGCCTGTGCCCTTTTGCCACACTGGCTGGGCACTGCCATGGCTTGAGACTAAACTGCGCAGAACCCAGTGGAGCTCATTTCTCATTTGGGCTGGGCCAAGGGACTAGAACTACAAAACGGGTCTGATGAGCTGACGTGAACTTGCAGATGTGAGCAGTGACCAGTGGCATGGTAGTCTTAGGAGGAATGTTGTTGCTGGCTGTTGTGGGATGGGTTTCAACCCAGCAACCCTGTGACAGCCGAGCAACACACCGCCCAGCCCTCACCATCCTCAGTCATTGCCCTGTGCGAGCCCACCCTTGTGGTCGTTGTGGCCATCCATCTGGTTGAGAGTTGACCCTCTTCTTGACCTCTGGCGACTGGGCCCTTTTGATGGCATGTCCAAAGCACATGCGACAGTCCTCCCACCCTCACTTATAAGGTGTGTTCTTACTGCTTCCTCCTGCCTCCTGGCAGTCCATAGCACACCTGGTGGTCTTCTACACCAGAGTAAGATCTCGAAGCGCCAGTACAAATGGATCGATCCATAAGGCTTATTAGCACATTTCAACTGGAAACAAAACTATAAAGTTTACATCCATATATACATACACATATAGTTTGACGTTCTCAAAAGCAAAACCTCCATTATGCTTGCTTCTGAATGCAGTTGGAATTGTCCAGGCTGCTCCCTGGTTTGGTTAGTGGTCCCCTGGGCATTATGGGAGTCAGGGGCCTCTTCATGTGTCAGAAGATTCTTTCAAGCCCAATGTTAGCAATAGTCATGCTGTGTCTGCGAGAACCCTCTGCCGGCACCCAGCCTGGTTCTGCCTGCTGCCCAGTTAGACCTCAGACACTTGACTGGTTAGGACAGGGCATTCGTGCGCGGGGGCTTCTAGGGCTTTATGGGGAAATGGGATTAAGAGATCATTGGACTTTTCCACGGGAGAAAGATGAGGTTTTTCTACTCCCATGAAGAATTACCGGTAAGTCATGGACACTCACAGGCAGTTCCACCCTGTCCTGTAGGTCTGCTCTGAGTTGGCATTGGCTCCCTGGCAGTGAGTTTGGTTTTGGGTGGGAGTGGAGGTAAGAGCTTTCCCACATCACTTCCTGAACCGCCCTCGTACATAACATATGAACTTTACACTTGGGAGAGAAGTGTATCCCTGTTTGTTTTGAAATAAAGGCAAAGCTTTTGAAATCCTATAATATTTTATGTACAAAGAAACCGTCGGTTTTGTTTATTAATTTGGCTCAAACTTGCATCCAATGGTTTAGGAGGCAGGTTCAAAGTCAGAGCATTGAATTTAGAGCAGCATTTTCCAAGGTGAGCCACACTTTGCCCCCTGAGGGCAGGAAGACCCAAGGCTGGTGGAAAAAGCAGATACCTACACTTTATCCTAGATTATGGACCAGGGGACTGAAGTTTTTAATTGCGGGGGTGGCTAGGAGGCTTTGAGAAACCTAGTGGGTAGTAGGCCAAACAAGTTTGGTGATCTTTGTTCTAGGGCTGAGGTTGGGAACATCTGTCCGACCCATGAAGTCATCAGTAGCCCCTTACATCCCACCCGTCACCGGAAGGAAGCGGTTCCAACTGCCCCATGGGGGTTAGGTTAATGAAATGATTGACCACCATGACCCTCAAATGAGACTAAAACTCTTGGCAGAAAGCGGGTCCCCACCCCAACTCTGCGGGGAAAGGCTTCCTCAGGAGATTCAGATGTCTCCTCAGCCTTGTCCGTCATTGTCCGATGCTGTCGTTTGTCTTTGCCCCTTGACCCCGTGCTCGGAACGAGCCAGTGTCTAGGCCACTTCATGTCCTGTGGCAGCTCCCCACTGGCCAGGACGAGTCCCCAGGCCACACGCAGGAATGTTCATGGCAGGCTAGAAAACGGGGGACTGTGACCAGTGAAACCCCCGTGCGGACCTCGAGGGCTTCTGGGACAGATAGTTACAGTGTGTAAGTGGCAAATCAGAAAAACCTAGCAGCTAGTCTGGCTTCGTTGAGTGGCCTGTCAGAAGAAAGCCCTTCAGAGAGCACATGGCCTCTGGAGAGTGACTTGGGAGAGAAGGGCAGGACCCTCCAGTCCCTCTGTGAGGAGGAGCGGCCAGAGCCCCGAAAGATCAGGACACTCCCGGTGAATGTGGCAGGACTCTTGTCACCTGTGTCCCCATCATGGTCTCAAACAGAAAAACCAATAGCCCGGCTTTGCCGCCGACTCCTGCCTTACCTCTGCTTTGGGACTTCACTGCCCACATTTTGTGAAACGAAGAAGTTAACTCTTTACGGATGCTTCTAAACAGGGCTATGTTGGTCACTTTTAAAAAGTGTTAACTGGTAAAAAAAATTCTCAAGTGAAACTTCCCCTTTACGAAAACTCTTGTTTAAGTAAAATCAATGTGAAAGAATGTTCTCAATATAGTTGCTTTAACAAACAGGCCCCTTTGCACTGTTCCCGTAACTGCTAGCCGCAGGGCAGGAAGCACATCGCATGAACATGCCCCTGCCTCACACATGGCCATTCCACCTCACAGCCCTCTCGGGCAGGGTCGAAGTCTCCCTGTAGGCACTGGCTTAACTGGCGACGAGAGTAGAAAGCCTTGTCTTTCTCCCGAGAAGCAGCTGGTGGTTTTGAACTGCTTACCTTGTGGCTAGCAGCCCACTGCATAACCACTCCCCACCAGGGCTCTGCATGACAGCACAGTGATAGAACTGATGACTAGCAGGTTGGGTAAGGGTTTCCCTCATCTCTGGCAGCCCTTGTAAACCAAACTGTCAAGTAGAGTCCTCGTAGGACGTGATAAAAAGGACATTTAAGTGATTCTGTTTTTCCAAGCCTCAAGGTCATGACTGAAAGCAGTGGTGAATTGAGGTGTCTACAATTCTGATGGGTGAAATCCTGGCACTTTGATGGCTTTTAAAGTACATAGCACCTCACGACAGAATATTCAAGGAGCGCTGGTGGTGCAGTGGTTAAGCATCGGACTGCTAACAGCCAGGCCAGCAGTTCAAACCCACCAGTTACTCCTCAGGAGCAAGATGAGCCTGTCTGACCACGTGCAGAGTTACAGGCTCGAGGGCTGGGGACGGGGGCGGAATGGGGGCTGGGGACACGGGAGAAAAGATTGAAATGGGTGAATTGAAACAAAATACAACTAAACCGAAAAACCAAACTCACTGCCAGCAAGCCAATGACTCACAGGACCCTACGCGACAGGGCAGAAGTAGCCGCTGAGTTTCTGAGACCAACTTTACAGGAGTAGAAAGCCCCATCTTTCTCCTGTATCTAAAACAGTACTTTAGAGTGGGTGATGCCCCCCCGCCTGCCGGGGGGCACTGTAATGATGGGGGGGGGGGCTGCCAAAGCAGATGCCTACACTTTATCCTCACGTCAGTACAAACGTGCTTAATGGCCAAGTCATTTTTTTTTCTATGAAAAAGGGACAATGGACCAAATAAGCTTTGAGAATCTGTGGTCTACATTGTTGAATGTAAAGCTCACGCTCGCTCGCTGTAAACCTTCACCTAAATAAAAAGTTTTTGTTTTTTTTAATCATCTCAGAAACCCTACGTTGTTCTGCCCTGTAGGGTTGCTCTGAGTTGGAAGCCATTCCATGGTATGTTCACGTGGTAAGAGCGCCCCCTCCTGGGTATCTGTCATTGCTAAATTCAGTGATTTGGGATGGAGTTCACGTTCTGAAGATTTACAGCTGTTCTACTCCGCCCGAAAGGGTCACTTTGAGTCAGAATTGACTGGATACCACTACGTGTTTGGTTCACTTCTACTTCCTAAAAACTAGGGAAGACATGATGTCGTCTAGGGTAATTTTGAAATGAAAATGACATCAGCATTTTACTAATGACCTTTCAATTAAGCGCCATTTGAGGATGGTGGGCTCAGGGTTCTTATAAGAAACAGTAGGGGGAACCTATTACAGGGATCTACATATAACCTCCTTCCTGGGGGACGGACAACAGA